TTTTAATCAGATTGACCAGCTGCCATACATAATCTGTGATGAAATGTATATTTTTGGATTGTCAGATGTTGCCACATCCCTTCCCAATTTTCTGGTTGTTGAAGACTGCACAGCTGATCAGTACCAATGTGCTATCGGTAACTGCATTGCAAGAAATCTTCTCTGTAATGGCATTGATGAATGTGATGATAGCTCAGATGAAGGACATCAGTGTGGTAATATACAATTTTATTTTCTACACCAATTTCTCATGCATTTAACAATCATTCAGTCCACCGTTGATTTTACTACATGATAGTTTAATTGCTTTTATAGCAAAAACAATAATCAGAAAACTGTTTTCATTTTCATGTACTGTATTAACTCTTCAGCTTTTCATAGAATAGACACTTGTAGCACCTTGACCTCTTCTTTGATTTTTATCTTTAAACAGTTTGGGTTTCTTGTTCACAAAGTTTAATTTTAGACACCAGTTTTCTATTTCCTTAATTTTGCAATATTTCTTCTTCCTACCAAATTGTTATCAGTGCGTGTACATCTTCGTCAAGCCAGATATTCAAAATTATGTCATTGATTAAATGTCATTTGATGATGGCGATAAAGGGCATGATTTTGGTCTGATGCATTCACACAGTTGAGCCATTTTCAGATTGGTCCTACCGGTATCTCCGAGTTAAACCTTGCAATTAATAGAAGCCAGACTTGAACCAATCTGGTTCATATGGCAAGTCAAGTTACAGTGCAAATGGTGTCTTGTAACTCGATGGTTCAATGATTGACAATTAACGTCCCTATATTTTCTGTTTACACTTTAATAGATTCTTCCTGTGTATTCAACGGAGGCTGTTCACATCTTTGTATCCCTACGCCAAGAGGTCCTCTATGTGGTTGTCCCAATGGCTTAGAATTGGGGGAAAATGATAAAAGTTGTGATGGTACGTATCAACAAATACTGATTTTAGAAACCGTTTTTTGAATCCTAGATTTATAAAACTTGCTTATAGTGCAACATGATCAGACTATAAATGCAACAAATCCAACATTCTTCCAGTGGAATAATGATGTGGGAGTAACATAATTTTTAGCTCATTGAAAGATTGATCGACTCAGCGGGAACTGTACATTGCAAAATGCTTATCATTGCCTACGGGATGTGTGCAAAAAGACGTTGATTGGTCCGCAAAAAACAAAGCTGTGATAGGTCAAAATGAACGAGCTGTGATAGGCTGAAGGCAAGACGGATTCGGCTCCAAGCTCGGGGTGTTTTACAAAATCGATTTTAGCAAGCCAAAATCACACTTTGTATAAACACGCCACACGCTTGTAAGAGGAACAGTTTGCATTTAATAGAAAAAACGACAATGGTAAAATACAAGTAGAAAATGCAATGAACTTTCTTTTTGTATGTCCAAAATTTCACCATAAAAAAGATGTTCTTTTCAATATACCGGTAACAATTCAAAGAGAAGCCATCACTTGTCTCCAGAAATTGATTTAAAGTGGAGATGAATACAATTGATGTGCCTTAAGGTAGAAGCATACTCATAATTGAAAATACCCAGAACTTTTTTTTTACAATAAACTGTACTCTAAGGCAATATAAGAATATTGACTTAAAAAAATCTGGGGGTCACCAGCCTTTTTTTTTTTGAGAAATTGATGGTTGTATTTTAGTGGAAAGTGGCCATTTTGGCAGTATTATAATGCTTTTACCATAGGTGCCTATGGCAAATATATTATGCCATATCTCAAAATCTAACCTAAAAATAACGATTTTCAAGAAATATTAGGACATGTTTTTCAAAAAGCTTAACTGTAACACACAAAATAATGCTATTTCATTGTACCATGGGACAATAGCTTCATGATTGTACAGAATAAACTAATGCGATTTATGACCAATTTTGTCAAAAATTGTAAGTAGGCTTCTACCTTGTGTGATTTTTTTTATGCACAAATCTTTAATCTTAAAAAATGTACATTTTCTTTATTTGTAATATTGACTTCTATTTATTTAAGGGCAAGGTCAAAATATCTGTCTGAAAAGGTTAAATCCTTTTAAATTATTTTATTTTTTTTGTTGGGAGGGGTGGTGGTGACTATCTTGAAGTTTCTGTATCAAAATCAATTTATTTTAATGAGTTCTTTCTAACAGTAATTAATCTGTTTTAAATGATCCAAAATGTATAAATTTGTTTATATTTGTTTATATTCAAAAATTGTATTATTTAAAGTGCACACACTAATTAAATCTGTTTATTATAATAAAAACATGGTTTGGTTTGTCAGACTTTTGGAATTATTCACTACATCATTCTCAACATTCATTTTACCCACACATCTGGCTGGTGTAATTGTAAATTGAATATAATTTCACTAAAATGTACATTTGTCTCTGTAGATGTGAATGAGTGTTTAGTTTATCCACCAGTTTGCAGTCATAATTGTGATAATATTAAAGGTAGTTACACATGTAGCTGTGAGGCAGGATATCGTCTACATGCTGATGAACGTGGATGTAAAGCACAAGGTATTATACTTTGCATTGCCCAATGCTCCTGACTTTGCGTGCGCTGACTTTGCGTGCGCTGATATTGCGTGCACTTACAGTGCGTGCGCTGATATTGCGTGCAATTACAGTGCGTGCAATTACAGTGCGTGCGCCGACTTTGCATTCGCCGACTTTGCATTCGCCGACTTTGCATTCGCCGACTTTGCATGGCCCGGTATATTTGAACAGGTTATTAATTTTTCTCAAATTACATACAATGCAGATAAACAAGAAATGAGAATGCACTAGATTAGCAAATAATCATGTGGATCATCATCCCATGAATTGGTGAATCTCACACAGCATGTCATCTGTCAAGCGGCGCTGTGAAGTCTTAGAACAAAGCAAACCCCTAGTGTTTTGCAAACATGCAGGCCACCTTGCCAACTGAGTGTCTGAATAATTCTTATAACCATTGTAAACAATGAGCTATTGTACCAGTCGCCTATTATATAAAACAGTTGACAAAGTGCTGTAATTATTTTTGACAGGGGATGAAGCCAGATTGATATTTGCCATAGAAAAAGAACTACGTATGCAGACTCTCGGCACATTACACAATTATGCACCTTTAAAATCAATTAGTGATGGTTATGTCTGTGATGTTGACTTTGATTCTCTAACACAAGACGTCTACTGGACACATTTGCAAAAGGTTAGTGTTAATATGAGGTTATTACGAGTGAAGTGAAGACAGTACAGTATTGATTGACACGCAGCAGAGGTCAATGTGAGCATGTATTGTCTGAGTAATAACTTTATTATACATCATGGGAATGCTGAAATACAAACTTCTTTGTGTGGAGTCCGGTCAAACCCTCCAGGCAGCCATGTTTGTTTTTATTATTAGAGGACGCTTATGCACGTAATCGTTCCATATTTACAATTCGCATTTCCAAATGGTAGAATGAAAATGCCCAGTGCAATACCACAAAATTACGGCATGCTGTAACTTAGGGTGTTATGATGACCGATGTATAATAATAGTCAATAGCGATGGATTCTAGTCTGCAGTGGATGAAGGTCTACATAGCAGGGGTTGACTTAATATTAGTGTAGTCAGTCTTGTATTCATCATTGAAAAATAGGTAATGTTAACCCCCACCAGCCACCGATGGCAAATCAAATTTAAATTTGGATCCAACAATTATGTTGCATCCTCTAGCACTATCATGCATTATTCTAAAGAAATGGTCACCATTTAAAAACATCACCCTCATAAAAATAAAATTAATGCTTATTATTAACTGATTGTTATTATTACTATATTCAGCAATAATACAATCTTTATTGATAAATGTATCCTTAATGGAGATATTGTTCGTGATACAATAAAGTTAAATGTTGTAAATTAAAAAAAAAAAATGAATGAATATATGAATGAATATATGAATGTTTCACTGAAAACATTTCATTTCATTATAAAGCAATTTAGGCAAAACCAAGAATAGACCCATATCCTGCCATTGACTTCTCGTGCTACATACCTGTCACAGTTTCATTTACTTACTGTCGTTGCTTTTACAGGGGAGTATACACATGATAAGCAAAGCTACAGCCAATATAGAAAT